GCCACTGATGTCACTGATTCAGTTGCCCCCAAGGCTGGCTCCTGGTTTGCTGGGGCCTGGTGTGCACTGGGTGTAGCCTGAGCTGTGTTGTATTCCACTCTAATCCTGATATGGATTCCTACTGATATTCTAAGTTGACTTTGGCTGGAAAATTGTTTCACTCCATTCTTTTGTGGGTTCTGACACCCTAGAATTTCTTTTGAGGCATTATTTAAAGATATTTGTAGGAATTTGGGGGAGAAACTAGCCGAGTCCTTCCTTTTTCTCTACCTTCTTGGCTCTACCTCCAAAACTTTATTTTAAGGAAATCATGTAGTCAAGCTTCTTTCTCTACACAAGATTAAGTTATAAATCAAAATAATAGTTCTCTATCATTTCATTTAAAAAAGGTCTCTTGCCAAGTGAATCGATGAACTTCACTGTGGCATTAATGGTGGAGATTTTCTAAATGACAAGATTGTCACCTGTTATAGATCTTATAGATGTGGCCAAAAGCAGCTGTGTCAAATGTAAGTAGAAATGGATCCCCACGGCAACACACTGACTTAAAAAACACAAATAAAAACAAATTAAAATTTATCTATGTTTTCTATATTTTTATTTAGTTTGTTAAATACTTCCCAATTACATTATAATGTGGTGATTCAGGCTATACCTAGTAGTTGTGAAGTGGGCAGGCACAGTAGTTTGACACCTCTAGCCTAAAGGACTTTTACCAGATGCTAATTTGAGGTCACTGCAATGATTTGAACAAAGTGTGTAGTTTATGATTTTTCCTTCTATAAAGATATTTTGTAATAAATTACCCATATTTTCTCTCCTTTCAATTTACTCATTCCCCATAGGAATAAGATACAATTTCCTTTAGATGGTATATGAAATTTAATTAGGCCAGTCCAAGATATGAAGAATAATAAAGTACTTTTAATAAATTCACCTTTTTTTTAGTTTTTCTTTTATGTGTTCCAGAAGATCATAAACATTCTGTGCTGATTAGTCAGTCAGTTAACAAGCATTTATCATGCCCGCCACTGTGATAAGCATTGCAGATACAAAGAAAATAACAAAAATACAAAAAAAAACCCTCTTTTCAGGGAGCTCAGATTTATTTATTTTTTTGAGAGGGAGGAAAATGTTAATAAATAAAGTACTAGAGAGAAAGAGAAAAAACAGAGAGAGAGAGAGAGAGAGAGAAATTTAGAAGCAGCTAGGTGGCACAGTGTGTAAAGCCCTGGACTTGGAGTGAAAAAGAGTTCAAATGTGGCCTCAAACATTTATTAGCTATGTAACCCTGGGTAACTCATTCTACCTGCATCTGCTTTCATTTCCTCATCTATAAAAAGAGGATAATAATAGCACCTATCTCCCATGAATGTCTGGAGGATAAAATGAGATAATACTTGGAAAGTGTCTGATACATGGTAGGCACTTAATGAATTCTTGGTTAAATTTGTAAAAGTTAATTTAGGCAGCTGGGTGGCACAGTGGATAGAGTACTAGGACTGTATTCAGGAAGACCTGAGTTTAAATCCAACCTCAGACACTTACTAGCCGTATTTCCCTGGAAACAAGTTACTTAGTTTCTTTTCCTCAGTTTCCTTAACTGTAAAATGGGGATAATAACAGCACTTATTTCCCAAGGTGGTTTTGAGGATCAAATTAGATCATGTTTATAAAGTAATGATCACAGAGTAGATGCTACATAAATGCTAGTTATTGATTTAATTTAATCCCAGAGGGGAAGGCATAGGGAAACAAGGAAAGGCCTTATATAGAAAGTGGGATATGATCCGGCCTAAGACACTTGACGCTTACTAGCTATGTGACCTTGGGCAAGTCACAACCCCATTGCCTTACAAAATAAATAGATAGATAGATAGATAGATAGGTAGATAGATAAATAAATAAATAAAGTGGGATATGAACTGAATTTTGAAGGAGGCAGGGAAATTATGAGGCAGAAGTTAAGAAATACAGATTCATCATTGTTAGGTCCATTCTTTGCTTCATATAAACAAATGAGATTAAAATCTAAGTGACTTTATATTTAAGCCTGGTCATTACAGACAAAATGATCTCTTAAAAACAAGAAGAAAGTAATCAAAATTCTCATGAATTCTTTCATTCAGGTCTTAGGTGAAAACAATGAGGATGCAAACCTACGGAGCTGTTAGTTTAACATCAAGAAAAGTGAAAGATATTGTGGATGTAGATAATAAATAGAGAAATGAATTCATAGTTTTCACCATAATAAAGCAAATTGTTTATTGTCTTTAAAAAATATCATATCACTAAAATCATTGATCTAAGTAGAAACAAATGGCATAATAAAGTTCATTTTTCTGCTACATGGAAAATCTCTGAAATAATCTGTTGGAAAAAATACTGCTGGATTTTCTGTAAACATCTCGGCTAAGGAAAATTTGCAAAATTATTTGTTAATTTTAAACAAAAGTTGATCTGTTCAACAAAATGCCAGAACTAAAGATGGTTTTAAATCTGTAAATCCTACCTGAAAGCCAAAGTATTTCCTACATGGACGATTCATTAACACTAATGAAAATGTGATTGTTTGTATAAACTCATTATTGACAAACCCTTTACTAAACATACATCCATGTTAAATTAAGTAATAAATTGAAAACCTCGACTGTTCAGCACTAAAGAGGATCCTTGAATGATCCATTTGGCTCTCTGCCCCTCTAGACCCTATAGTCTTTACAAATGAAGACATTTTAAATCCCATCTATAAGTTTAGATAGAGTTTAAATAGTCCTAATTTGGTTCTATTTAGGTCTGGCCTGGACTCTGAGACTGATCCTGCTTATAGGCAAAGAAAATAGAATTAATTAAAATAATAATGAATAATATTTATATAGTACTTTCAGTTTAAAAAGGGGTTTAAAATTATTATTTCATTTTATCCCCCAATTACCCTGGGAAGTAGATGCTATTATTATCCCCATTTTACAAATGAAGAAACTGAGGTAGGCAGAGGTTAAATGACTTGCCCAAGGTTGGTCATATAGCTAGTAAGTGTCAGAGACTGAACAGATTTGAAATCAAATCTTCCTGATTCCAAGTCCACTGTGCTGCCTTGTTGTCTCTGATAGATCAATGACATATGATGTTATTATCAAATCAGTCTTGCCATGAATCTTGTCCTGATCTTGTACTTTGGTTACATTTATTGGAACTGAAAGGGATAGGGTAGTTAATCACTAGAGGCATAAATATCAATTAATAGGAGAAATTGCTAACAGTTGGACAACTGACAGTTTGTCTAAGGGTGAGGACAATGGTTCAGGGTGAGATTTCTGTATTTACAGAAACTAATGGGGAGGGGTGTATGGAGGTGCTACTACACCATCAACTGTGTTACCTACCTCATCATCTTGTTCAGATTGTTGAGGCTCTGTCTTAGCTTCTTATTCCTAAATCCTTGTGTTGTCTTATATTCAAAGCCTTTCTTGCTGATCCTATCAGCTGCTAGAGCTCACCCTTTCCCCCCTCACTTTGTGATTATATATGTTTGTGTACATTGATACACACACACACATAGGTAGATGCTATCTTCCCCATAGAATATAAGTTCTTTGCCAGCAAGGAATGTTTCATTTTTTTTATCTTTGTATACTCAGGTATAGTGCCTAGCATACAGTAAATATGTAATAAATGGTTATTGATTGAGTGTTCCATTCCTTGCCCATTAGTCTTCTTCTTCTAAAACTAGAATAATATATTGTTCTCTCCATACATCTTCATTAGTTTCTATGAAGACTGTGATTTTTATGCTGAATCATAAATCCCTTTGCTTCCATTCTCATAGATAAGTAGTAGCTAGGTGGGACCAATGGATAGGCTGCCAGGCCTGGGATCAGGAAGACTCATCTTCTTGAGTTCAAACCTGGTCTCAGACACTTACTAGCTGTGTGACCCTGAGCAACTCACTTCACCTTGATTCTCTCAGTTTTCCCCAACTATAAAATGAGTTGGAGAAGGAAATGATGAACTACCTTAGTCTCTTTGCCAAGAAAACACCAGATGGGATAATGAAGAATCAGATACAACCGGAAAATGACTGAATACCAAAAAACAACAAAATATAATCATCTTAGTACAATGAACAGGGCCTTGAATTTGTATCTCTGAGCCTTGGGTTTGAATTCTACCTCAAACACAAACTAATTGCTTGGCCATAGACAAGTGACTTAACCTCTTAGGGCTTGTGGTGCCTCATCAGAAAAAAAAAAGTTGTATGTGTTTACTATCTATACCACAGAGTTGTTATAAGAAAAATACTTGATAAACCTTAAAAGGCTGAGCAAATGTGAATTATTATTATAATGAACATTTGTATTTGGCTGCAGAACTGATGGTTCTTGGCTGGATTTGCTCAAAAGCTACTTTAGTGAAAATATTGTTAGTTCTTTGACATTTCAAGTGTCTTTCCCAAGACACTTGTATCTTGAACTATAATATCATTCTATTAGCAGTCAAATGAAAGCATAAATAATAAGAGCTTAATATGAAATTTTCAACAAGGTAGATTTCCCCTTTTCTTTATCTGTAGAGATAATATTAACCTATTAAAAATAACAAAAAGGAAGGTTTCTCTTTTTGTACTAACAGTGTGTTCTCCACATTCTATACAGATGATTTACACAATAAAAGGCATTCAAAATGACACACACTACGTAGGTTTTTGAAAATTTAAGATATTTTTTTTTTATTTCTGTAACCAAATTGCTATTTATCCATGAGGGCTCTGGAATTCAGATATAAAATATACTGGTACACCACATGTATTATTTGCTTATAATACTCCTTGTAAGGAGAGAAAAAAAATCTTTAAAAATGATTGTGAGCTTTTGCTTCTAATGTAAATGATTTTCCTATAATACTATATTCCAATAAAAAAGCATGTATAGTCTTAGTGGGTATTTCCAGACATATTAATAAAGAGTTAATTGTTTAAATTAAAAAATAATTTTTCTTACCCATGTCAGACATTTCTGGCACAGTTACGATGTATGGTCCATCTGTAAATTTGGGTGCATTGTCATTGATGTCTTGTACTTTGATAATGAATTCAGATTCAGGTTCAAGAGGCTTGTTTGTCCATCTATCAATTGCCTGGGCATGCAGGACATAGTGGGTCTTCTGCTCTCGATCTAGACTTTTGGTTGAATGAATGTCTCCCGTGGTGTCATCAATGATAAATATTGTCCCAGCCCCTTCTCCAGTAAGGATGTATTTAACTGATCCATCGCCTTTGTCAGAATTGGAGTGCAGCTGCAAAAGATAGGATATAATGTAATATAAATAGATATCACATAATCTTATGTCATAATATTTATATATAGATGTATGATTTTATAATTTTGTTGTGAAAATGCTTCATTTCCAGCTTCCCATGGTGTCTTGACTTCAGTAAAACTGATTTTCCTTATGATTTTGCAAGAAACTAAGTCATTGATTAAGAAAAACAATGGTGAAAATATGTCCTTTAAAAGTTTTCTTTTACAAGTTATTTGGTCAAATAATCTTTACACTCAGTATATTTTTTATGAAGTCAACATATTAATAAAATAATTATTTTATAAAAAAAATATCCTCTCAATATAAAGTTTCAGGACCAGAACAAGCCACAGAATCAATCTCCACATTGTGTTTTAGCCAGTATTACACTGTCATTCCTTTCTTAGGGAATTAATTTACTACATTGTTGTGATGCCACAACATCCCAAAACAATTTCAAAGTTAAAACCAGGAGAAAAAAAACAGAATAAAGGAATGGAAACTTCCTTTAGTAACTACTAGGTGGAAAACTGGAATTTTTATTTCTGTCTTAAAAAATATTGAAAGTACTATTTTGGCAGCTTATAAAAGTGGGATATAGGAATGTATGAGTAGACTATCAGGTGTATAAGTCATCTCTGATCTAAATAAGAGCCATATTACCCCTAAAGCAGCAGATATAACCTTAGCGTTAAATATATATGCTAAAGTGGATGAAGACTAAGGTAGGAACATTCCCAGAGCATCCAATCTGGAGCTCAATTTGCTGTTGGGGTTAGGCCAGAAGTTTAGAACTTCTTTGAGATTAATCTAGTAGCTGTTAAACTGTCTGTCACTTCTGATAAGGCCATATGTGTCCTGGCAGAAAACAGAAAAAAACCTAGGAAACAAACCCCAGATCTAAGGGGAAGAAAGGAAATGCAATTATTTGAGAGCAGAATTTCAACTAACAAATTGATAGATTTTTAAAATTCTATCTAAAATTCCAATAAAGATATATTTTTATAAGAAATATTTTATGTGTTTGTATATATCTGTAGAAAGACATAGAGATGTAGTAGATAGAGGATCATCCTTGGAGTTAGAAAAACTAGAAGAAAGTAGTCACTCTGGACTACTTTTTCATTTACCTTCTCACATGCTGCCCTTCCACTTTTAAGCTTCCTTTATGTGTCATTTTTTCCCATTAGGAAGTAAGCTCTTTGAGGGGAGAAACTATCTTTCTCTTTGCCTGTATATTTCTAGCATTTAGCATAGTTCCTGATATGGAGTAAGCACTACATAAATCCTTTACACATCTATCTTTATTTTGGAAGACCCATGTTAAAGTCCTACTTCAAGCACAGGCTAATTGTGAAAATATGGCAAGTCATTGATTATTGTGGTGTGTCTAAAGGAACTCTGTAAAACTATAAAAAAAAGACAATTTAAACCTACCTATGTGGAGGATGTTTCTACACAAAGCAATCCTCCACACTGATATGATGAAATGAGAGGTTGAAAAAGAAAATCTCAAGTAATATATGCCTTCTGTCTTTAAAATTCATATTTGTGTATGTGCCAAAGGATCCAATGATAAATTTAAGATAATTTTGTGATATGATTGTGACTAAGGAGATATAGACTGCTTCAATTGAACTTATGTAAGACTAAGAAGAACACAAAGAGATTAACTGAACCAAAAGATTATGAAACTCTCTCTTTCTCATTCATGGACTTACTTCAACACATCACATTTTGTTTTAGTCTTTTTGGTCCATGGTACCCATGAATATTTAAGTTTGTAGCAAGACTATAATTAAAATTTTAGTTTACTTGAAAGACACAAAAGTGTCCATTTAGTAGATGTTGATTTTTTTAAAAAATAAAATAGTGAACATACCAAATCAATTTCTCATTAAGAAAAGTTTTTAAAATGTATTGTAAAGTCCATACATTTAAGAGATATTTAAAAAGAGAAAAATAAAACATAAAATGAGAAATGAATAATTTTATGCAGTAGAAATCTAACATCCCTAATTTACATTTTTTTTCCTTAAATTTTCACCAGCAGAACTGTAAGACCAAGATGCAATATCCATGAAATTCTGACAGGAATAACTCATCTCCAGGATAAACAAATTGCAAGTCCTGCTAAATGTTAGTTGCAAATTACTACAGTAACTGTTACCTGAGTGGTAGAAAAAAAGGTACCTATATTATTGAAAGCAAAGAAAATGAGTCACATTGTGTTAACAAAACTTAAAAATCTATTTTCAAATGTCTTGTTCACCCTTTCACAGCAATATAATTATTTAAAGGAGAAAAAACCAAGGAAATTAAATAATGGGAACTTTTTAAATATTATTTTATCATCTTCAACAGAGTTTTTGGATTGTGGAGTTGCCTTTCTTTTGGTGACTGATAACATCAAAGCAAAAGAAAGTTAACAATTCTCTAAAAACTATCTGTAAGTCAGTGACCTCTTTTTAACTTTTCCACCCACCAACACATACCTTAGAGCCACCACACTTCATTTGTGGAAGAAATATTTGCAAAATCTGTCTTAAGGGGCCAGAGATTATTTTTAGGCAATCAATCAGAGGTGGAGCAGCTGGGCAGTATGAGCATCTCTACTAACATTTATTCCTGCTTGGTGTAAGGAGCAGAAGAGAATCAATTATGGTAAAGTATAGTAGATTTTCTTTGATGGTTTCAGAAAATAACAAATGGAAAAGTTGATCAGAAGTAGTTCTGTTTTTAAGATATATTTCTTCAAATAATCTCCCCCTAGTGCATATCTTCAAAAAGTCTTTCCCAAAGCTTTAAGGTATTGGAGAGAGAAGATGATTTTTTTCTTAATAGCATTTTAAAATGGAAAGTGGTCTAATTTGTATTTATTTGAAGAAATAGCTAAACCAAGGAGAACAGAAATCATTTCAAGGAATTTTGAGGTAAGTTCTGAAATTAATTTAAAAACATTTACTTGAAATCTTTGTTTGATATGTGATTTCCTTGATGTGAACACTCCCTCCAAAAATACAGATTGAAATCCAGCCATCGTGTGTGATTTATGTCAATCTCCCCTCTGAAAGGTCTCTAGATCTCCTAACGTATGGAAGCCGCAAATACAAAAATCAGGCTCTACCTTACTGTCTGTCACTACATGACTAGACCACCTCCTTTTCCAGTAAGACATTCCCTTCCTTTATCTTCCACTTCTTTCTGCATTCTGGCTTCTTTGATAATGGGAATGTTCATTAATATGTATATGGCTTGTAAAAGAACTCACTATTTGACAAAAACTGCTGGGAAAACTGGAAAATAGTATAATAGAAACTAGGCATAGATGCATATGTCACACTGTATACCAAGATAAGGTCAAAATGGGCACATGATTTAGACATAGAGGTGAAACCATAAGCAAATTAGGAGAGCAAGGAATAGTTTAACTGTCAGATATATGGAGAAGGGAAGAATTTATGATAAAATAAGATATAGAGAACATTATGAAATGCAAAATGGATAATTTGATTACATTGACTTAAAAAGGTTTTGCACAAACAAAGCCAATTCAACCAAGATTAGAAGGAAAGTAGAAAACTGGGAAATAATTTTTATAGCCAATGTTTCTAATAAAGGCCTCATTTCTTAAATATATAGAGAATTGAGTCAAATCTATAAGAATACCAGCCATTCCCCAATTGATAAATGGTCAAAGGGTAAGAACAGGCATTTTTTGGATGAAGAAATTAAAGCTATCTATGGACATGAAGAAGTGCTCTAAATCACTTTGGATTAGAAAAATGCAAATTAAAACCATTCTGAAATACTAACTCATACCTATCAGATTAGCTAATATAATATAAAAGAAAAATGAAAAATGTTGGAGAAGATGTGGGAAAATTGGAACACTAATGCATTGTTGGTGAAATTGTGAACTGATCCAACCATTCTGAAGAGCAATTTGTAACTATGCCCAAAGGGCTATAAAACTTTGCTACCCTTTGATCCAGCAATACCACTACTAGGTGTATCCCAAAGAGATCATAAAAAAAGGGGAAAGGAACTGCATAGGCAAAAACATTTATAGCAGCTCTTTTTGTGGTAGCAAAATATGGAAATTGAGGGAATGCCCATCAAGTAGGGAATGGCTGAACAAACTGTGGTATATGGATATAATGGAATACTACTATGCAATAAGAAATGATGAACAGGAAAATTTCAGAAAAACCTAGAAAGACTTGTATGAGCTGATACAAAATGAAATGACTAGGAGAACATTATACACAGTATCAGCAACATTGTATGATGATCAACTATGAATGACTCAGCTTTTCTTAGCAGCACAATGATGCAAGATGAGTACAAAGGACTCACAAAGGAAAATGCTATCCACATCCTGATGGACTCTGAATGCAGATCAAAGCATACTTTTTTCACTTTATTATTTTTGTGTGTTTTTTTTTTACCCTTTGATCTGTTTCTTATTTTGCAACTGTGACTAATATGGAAATATGTTTTACATGACAGCACATGCATAACCTATATCAAATTGCCTATCATTTTAGGAAAAAGTAGAAGGAGGAAGGGAGGAAAATTTGAAACTTAAAACCTTGTAAAAACGAATGCTAATAACTGTCTTGACACGTAATTTGGAAAAATACTATAAAAAAAGAGAGAGAGAAAGGCATTGTATACCTCACCTCAGCACTTATAGTAGTAAAATTCTTCTTTTTCTCACTTTATGGATGAAGAAAGTGAGTCACAGAAAAATTAAATGTTTTGAACCCAGATTTATCTTCATTCCAGGGCATCTAGGTGGTACAGTGGATAGAATACCAGACCTGGATCAGGAAGACTCATCTTTTCGTCTTTTGGAGTTCAAATCTGGCCTCAGACCCTTACTATTTGTGTGATCTTGGGCAAATCACTTAACCCTGTTTGCCTCAGTTTCTTCATCTTTAAAATAAGGTGGAGAAGGAAATGGCAAATCATTCCACTATCTTTGCCAA